CTTGCTGACTATTGATGCTTTACTGGCCTTCCCTGTCTTCTCTTGATGACTATTGATGCTTTACTGGCCTTCCCCGTCTTCTCTTGCCGGCTACTGATGCTTTAATGGCCTTCCCCGTCTTTTCTTGCTGACTACTGATGCTTTACTGGCCTTCCCTGTCTCTCTTGGTGACTATTGATGCTTTACTGGCCTTCCCTGTCTTCTCTTGGTGACTACTGATGCTTTACTGGCCTTCCCTGTCTCTCTTGGTGACTATTGATGCTTTACTGGCCTTCCCTGTCTTCTCTTGGTGACTATTGATGCTTTACTGGCCTTCCCTGTCTTCTCTTGGTGACTATTGATGCTTTACTGGCCTTCGCCGTCTTTTCTTGCCGACTACTGATGCTTTACTGGCCTTCCCCGTCTTCTCTTGCTGACTATTGATAGCTCTAAAGCTCTTTTTATTACTTGTTCTTTTCTCTTCACATGACCAAACTACCTCAGCCTCGCTTCTCTTGCCTTCCCTCTATACCATAGACTCCTGCCATTTCCTTAATTACTTTATTTATTCTTTTCTCTTTCAGTGACATTCCCAAGAGCCATCTCAGCATTCTCATTTCTGCTCTTATCAACAAGCCTTCCTTGTTCAGGATCTAGGTATCAGCTCTGTAGAAGAGCACCGATCTAATCACTTTGGCTTTCAGTGCCCTTGGTAACCTTTTGTCACAGATGACTGCAGCCACTTATTTCCATTTCTTCCAACGTGCCTGGATTCTACCTCTCACTTCCTCCTTCACTTCCCAAACACCTAAAGTCTTTTACCTGCTCCAATGGCTTACCATTTACATCTTCGATCTTTAGTTTCTTATTTCTACCCCTTCTGCTCATCATGACTTCCGTTTTTCTGGTATTCACGTTTAAGCCTCTTCTTTCTAAACTCTTCTCTCACACATTAATTTACATTTCATTTGTACAGTAGCCCACAACACCCCCCCCCCCCAATAAAATAAACAACCACAAGTTATGACAACAACAACAACAACAGACTAACCTTTTAAAACAAACTCCAAAGATTAATCAACAAATATTCATAATGCAACACTATATCGCATACGGAACCATATGACTGTCCTCCAACTTGAAGCAGTTATATAATACTTTGCTTTCAGAGAACATAAACTTAAAAGTTTTTAAACATTTAGTACAAGAACATTCATGTATTTATTTATCACATGACTAAGTACTTTTATCATTTAAACCTGTAACTGTAAACTTCATAGACAAAAAATGATTCTGCTATAATCAGCATAAAATCATAAATATGTCAGACAACTGTATCTGATAAAGTAAGTAAGTATATTTTATGACTGAAGTAAATGCTATACCATTCTTACTGAAATAAACAGTACATGTACAAATTTACGGAAATATCATTAACATTTCACAGACTCCTGTTCGATATGAAAAAGGCTCCAATTGGCTATACTAAGTGATGACTTAGGTACCTGAAATATTTGTGGCATAGCTTCAAAGAAATGTACTCTTTGTATTTCATTGGTCTTTTGTAACTGGTCAGCATAGTTGGTCTTTGCTTCTTCACAAAGCTGGTTTTTTGCATTGGAGAAGATTCTTGCCTTTAATAAACAATATTTAACCATTTAAACTTCCACACAAAAAAAAGAGAGAACAAATATTCTAACACTATTGTAACTAAGAGTCATACAGAAACAGAAGATTGAAATATTTGAAATATCAATGAGTCAGACACCGGCTTGAACAACTTTATTAACAAACAGAACTTACCAAACATAAACCTGACCAACGGTTTCCATTAGAAAGTTATTTTACTGAATATCTAAGGGGTTTTACATCCGTTTTACTACACCATATAGTAACCTAAATCAATTAAGGTTCGTGAATAATGTTATAACATTTTGCAAATTCATTATTCTGTATTATAGAGCAGACTGTTTAACGATTGTATATATGGATATATATATATATATTATTTTTTAAACATATATATACAGTTTATTGAATAATTCAGTGGTTTAAACATTGATGTAGGTAACCACATGTGGTTAACAAAACCAGTCACAGAGCAACTACCAGTTTCTCATGTGATCATTCAGATTTTATTGTACATTTTGTCTTAATGAAAATTGTATATTTTAGCGTAAGTTGTTACTGCCTATAACTATAAATGGTAAAAGACCCGTTGGTTCTACGACTATTTTGTTAGGATTTTTTTTCAATAATAATAAATAAAATGTTAGAGAGATATTTAATATACTTAAATATATATTATCACAATAAATTCTACTTCTTAAAAAATAAAACGGTGACATACGATGCTTTATACAAACACATTTACATTTCAAAATATTCATACTAGCATCTTTTCGTTTCTGTTTCGTAACATTTTCAGCCCAGGAAAAATTTGTTTGAGTAATAAAATATTAGCCACTTTGTAGAACATTAGTATAAAAAATTAGTACTGTATAGTTTTAATGTGTAGAAAGTGTTGCTTAACAAAATGTGAACAGTAATACCAAATGTAATACTTCATAATACAGAGTAAGTAGACAAAAAAATCCTAAAATAGGTTTTCCACATACTAAACGATCATCTCCTGTAACGCTTTTTAAATATTTTTAATTAGTGATAACAAATATTTTTTTCTTAACAAAAATACCTTCTCAACTTCAGCTCGAGACAGGTTAATATCAGCATCGGCTTTTATATAACTTTCCTGTGACTTCTCTGCTTCCCTGAATGTTTTTTCATAAGCTTTTTTAGCCTGTGAATCAAACAAATCACACAACAGAATATTTGAAGTAAAAACACACTACATTCTTTCATCGTCTTGCACTGGTAAATAACAATTTTCGTCAGGGTACAAAAAAAGGGACACTGATATTATGCAGTTTAGGTCCTAAGAAAGCATTGTTTATCAAACAAATATTGACCAGTCTGCTTTGTGAATAACGGGATAACATAAACCTGAATTTAGAAATGGTAAGTGTGGTGGGGATTGAAAAATAGCATTTAAAAAAATATAACATAGAATGGTAATTAAAGGTACATAATGATGAATAGTAAAGAACAACGAACATCTGACAAGTGTGTACAGTAACAAATGAACATTTGACACGTGTGTAAAGTAACAAATGAACATTTGACACGTGTGTACAGTAACAAATGAACATCTGACACGTGTGTACAGTAACAAATGAACATCTGACATGCGTGTACAGTAACAAATGAACTTCTGACACGTGTGTACAGTAACAAATGAACTTCCGACACGTGTGTACAGTAACAAATGAACATTTGACACGTGTGTACAGTAACAAATGAACGTTTGACACGTGTGTACAGTAAAAAATGAACTTCTGACACGTGTGTAAAGTAACAAACATTTAATTCTTGAACGTTTCTGAACATACATATTCCATCTTTAGCAAGCTATATTGGAAAAGGTAAATTATTAGGTAAAAAAATTTATAAAACTTAATCATTTTATAAAAAGTAATTGACATACAGAATAAACCGTTTCTTTTGACAACGTTTTCGTGTTATATTAAGTATGTTTCAAAACTAGAGGAATATTATTATACGAGATGACCTAATGATGTTAAAGGCTGGCGAGTACAGTAAGCTTAGAGTTTTACAACAAGAAGTTATTCAGATTTCTTAAGTTGTGTGTATTAGTAAACTCAAACAACACATACAAGTATTAGTTATTGAAAAATAAATATGATCATTAGAAAGAAATTAAGATTGATAAAAAAAACTGTTAGAAAAATATCGCTGATATCAGCATAGGCCCTGGATACAAGTGTAAGATGTGTTTGTACCAATCAATATTTTTTCTATTCATTAGAGTTTTAGGCTATTTTTCAACTACATAACTAATTCAGTAAATAAATAATTTATTAAAATAGAACATGTTAGGCCTAATTGGATACATAAAATGGAACTTTCTGATCATTAACATAAAAAGAAAAAATCCAGTTTTATTTCTTTCTTTCACGTTCTTAACACTTAACTTTCCTTGTATAAGAACTCGTACGAACATAAGAGAAAATGACTACGTCATTATAATAAGAACGTTGACAAGAAAATTATAGTTTTATTGAAAAAATAAATCTATCGGATACATTTACAAGTTTTTAGCCATACAACAGAAAAAAACAGAAATTCTGAGATGAAACCAAGTAAGTTTAAT